GCTGTGTGTGGGCCCGCTCCGCGTACCCGCATGATGGCCTGGGAGGCCGCGATAGAGGGTGTCGCCTCTTCTCCGCACTGTGCCTGGCAAAGCTGGGCATCCCCATTGTGCGGCCTGGCGACGTTCGTCGTGGCCCTCCCCGTCCTGCTACTCTTCCTTCGGGCTGCCTGCTGCGCCATGGCGTGCGGGCCTCTGGGCTGCGGGCCCCCAGGGGCCCTGCAGCGGCAGCCGACGCCGCTGGGGTCGCAAAGGAGGCGGCTTTCTTGGTCCGCGCTCCTTGCGCGGCTCACCGCCGTCTCGCCGGGTACGCCTGAGCGGAGTGGTGCATGCCTGGTGGCCCTGGGGTGTCGCCGAGGTGTTGCGAGCACTGCAGGGCCTGGACGTGGACGTGGAAGTTCTCGTCTCTGAGGGAGGAGGCTCCGTACTGGTACGGCTGCCCTTGCAGGACCCTTCCAGAAGGTTGGCGCCCGCGGAAGACCCTGTCGACTGTCGAGTGGGAGCCCGCGGAGGAGCCCTCGCCCGAGCCGTTGCCTTCGGACTCTGCGCGCTTCGAGAACCTCCCCGATGCTGTCCGTTGGAAGGCGTGCTTGGTGTGCGGCCACATTGCGCGACTCCCGAAGAGCGCATCCGCGTGGCGTCCGTGCAAGGCAGCATCGCGGGCGGAGAGCCGTGTTGCGGCACGCGCACCGACGAGGCGCCGAAGGCTCGGAAACTGCCGTAGAACGCCAGATACTTCGTCCTGCGCCAGTCATTGGAAGGCTCGGGTAGCACAGACCTCCCATTCCACAGCTCCACGCAGTTGAGACAGTTCACGGTGTTCCAAGAAAACAGCAGCATCAGACAGTTCACGGCGTTCTTGTTGGGCACAGGCCTCCACTCGAGGCAACGGCAGCAATCTTAGCTTGAGCAAGAGGCATCATTGCCCCATTCGATTGGTCGAGATTGTTCCGGATGTGAACGCTTTGACCGTGTTGTGACTAACATCCGCAGGAAGTGACCGCAGCCATCCCCGTCATGCGGCGATTGGGCGGAGTGTTGCTGGTGGTCCCTCGAGGCGCGCTAGGAGCAGCCACCGTGGCCCGCGTAAATGCCGCCGCTGGTCCGCGAGCGATGATGGGCCCTTGTCGCGAAATCCTTGTCCCTTTGAGCCAGCTGGCGACCGACCAGGTCGTGGAGGAGGAACCCGCCGAGGACACCCTCACAGTCGAGCTGGCAGGCTTCGCCGACGCTGTGGCAAGCTGGGTGCGCGAGCCCGTCGAGGGGTCTTCTGCAGCCGAGCCGATCACCTTCGACGAGACGCGCCGCTTGCCTCAGCTTGACGCGCTGCTCCAGGCTGCCCAGAGCTGGATCCAGGAGGCGCGCGTCGAGGGCAGGCTTCTTTGCACGACATGGCCGACGTCGAAGGCTCCGATGGAGGTGACTGCAGACGCTGCTCCACCGCACTCCGAAGGCGAGCCAGCCGAGCGGTGGAGGGTCCTTCCCGCGTGGATGCTGGACGAGGAGTGCCGCGCAGCGGCGGCGAGCCTGCCCGCCTGCCTTCTGTTCGGACGAGGAGCTCCCGCTGCTGCGCCCGAGAGGCGGCCAGGCCCCCCGCATCGCCGAGAAGCCTGCCCGCCCCGGGCCCGTTGTGTCGGAGAGCGGCCTCGCGAAGGGCCCGGAGGCATCGACGCTCCCGATGGTGCCGCTTCGACCAGGGTGTGTGTCGGCGGCTTCCTGGGAACGGTCTGGGCACGGAGCACCTTCGTCTGGCCCCGTTGCGCGCTGCCCGTCTCGGGCCCCGTGGAATCCAAGAGGGCGTCGCGTAGGAAGATCGCCTCTCTGGGTGCGACGTTTGGGCGTTGCGCAGGGCACCTCGCTCGAGATGATGCTCGAGCCGCAGCAGCTCGACGTTTTCAACATCAACGAGCTGCTGGAGGGCTACAGTTAGTTCCTCTGGCGGCAGGGCAGTGCCCACTTGAAGCTGAGTGAGACGATCAACTCTGTCTCGGGAAAACTGGGACAGTTGCGCCGCCAACCAGGACGAGCGTGAGACGTGGCTCCCGCATGCTTGGACCGTGAACCTGGTGGCTATTACCTTGCGATGCTTCTCTCCGTCCTCCGCGCCCTCGTCGGCCCGGCTCTGCTGTGGGGCTGGCCGCGGGTCGCGGCGCTGCTGGCAGTTGAGTGCCGGGCGGCGCGGGATCTCGCGAGCCGCTGAGTTTCTGCGCGCGTGTTGCTCAGACCTGATCTTCCCCACGGACATCCTCGAGGCAAGTTGTCATCTTATGTTGGCGACTTGCGAGCCCAAGACGATGGGAGTGGGCCCACGAACGCAGTCGGCCAGGATCGATGAACCCGACGATCGCGCTGCTGGTGGCCAGCGTTTTCTGACTGTCCAGCTGGGCTTTGTTAAGGTCCAAGGTGCGGGGGTCGTTCTGGAAGCGGTTCCAGATGTTGTGCCGTGCTCTGGCGCTACCAGCAGGACACGGGGTCGGTCTCGACCTCGGGGCGCTCCGCGCTGGCTGTGCGACGGCGCTCTACGAGGCAACGGAGAGCGGAAAGCTTACCCGCACCCGAGACAGACGGCTTCAAACCAACGGTGATGATTTATATCTAAGAGGTCGGGGCGCGAGCGACACTTCTCTAAAAAGTCGCGATTGCGACGTCAAGCCCTTGGAGCCGCCCTGTCACGCATCCGGGCTGCAGCGCTGGAATGGCAGGCGGCAGGCGTCCTGCGATTGTGCTGGCTTGCCAGTTTCGTCTCCCTTAGTGAGATCTTCTGATCCGTTCCCTTTGCATGACCTGTGGACACCGGTCGTGTTTTGATATGGCAATCTTCGGCCGTGGGTGGCACATCCGTGTTGCCTTGACTGACTGAGATACAAGTGTACATATATATATATATATACACAAACAAAGTGGACTCAAAGGCCTAATTCAGGGAGTTGTGGGATAGGCCTGCCTGTCTGTCTGACATGTTGCGTCTGTCTACGGCTTTTGGTCTCGAGCCTGCGTAATAATCTGTCTGGCCTCGCAGGCCCTTAGTGGATCGAATACTATTGTGAGTAGCTTTGAGGCTGGCAGAACACAAGTGAATCCCTGACAGAAGGGATGGTCATTGCGGCAGCTGGGGCTCAAGCTGCCCGCCCTCGGCCTTGTGAACGAAACCATTTCCTTGCACTTAGCCCCGCGGGGAGAGGCCTGCCTGTGCTTCTGATCCGACGTGTCCGTTTTCGGCCTTCGGCCTCACGCCAGCACCATGATCCGTTTGACCGGACAGTCCCCGAGCGGATCGAGTAGAGGCCACCAAAGCAAACATGAGTTTTTTGAATTCTTGAGGAGGTGGGCACAATTCCATAGTGTTTGCCTTCTGCGGGCCATGTTCGGGGACCTGGACCGTCGAGCATCGAGGCAGGGTGAAAACTTGACCGGATGGAAAGTTTGGAACGGATTGAAAGGGAGGATGATATTTCGAGACACCGTCTTTCCCCTGTCGTCGTTTTTGTCTGGGCCTCTTGGGTGGCCTTCGTCGTTACGGCTGGAATTGTCTCGAGATCATGGTCAGAATGCGCCCGGGGAGGGATCGTGGGAGCAGCGGTATGGGCATTTTCAGGGCTTTTCAATGGCGAGTTCTGATGAACAATGGTTTTTGCGTGCCCGATGAAATTGCAACCAGTGGTCGACACATTCGTTTTGTTAATTCTTCAGGCTTACGCCACATCCGCCGACCCCTTAAATGCGTTCGAGCAAGACATGTCTGACGCTGTTGAAAGAGCAGGCGGACATGTCGGGTGCACGGAAGAAGCACAATTCATCGGGGGAGAGGCCCTATCGGAAATGCGCGGAGGGGCGAGAGAACGAGGTGCGACGTGACGTGCGCGGCGTGCGGAGGAGCGTTCTCGGATACGAAACATTTGCAGCAGCGACAGGTGGGGAATCATCAAAAGGCGACAGGAGCGGCGCGTGCAAGAGAAGACTACCGAAGTCGGAGAGGTCGTTTGGCGTCTCGGAGCTCTCGTGGACCGTCTTGAAGTTTTTTGGGGGGGGGCCTTCTTGGCCCGTGTCTAGATCCTCTTGACCCCGGAAAAGTCCCGCAATGCGCTCGTGCCGGGCCTGGGGGGGGCAAATCTCCGGTTTGAGGTCCCTGGGGGGGGTATGGGGGATCTCTGGGGAGGCATCTCGCAGGCTTCGTGGAGGTAGTTTCGAAGTTCACTGATAGCCGTTTTGGGACCTCTTGGGGCCTCTTTTGGGCTTCTCGGACTCTCTTAAGAGGTTTTTTGGGGGTCTCTTGGGACCTTTTGGGCGGCTCGTGGGGTGTCCCAGGGCCAGGTGGGAGCGGAAGGCTCGGATTTTCGGTTCGGGTTCCGCCGCTGGGGCCCCTCTAGGAGCCGTCTTGGACTCTTTTGGGCCGATTCGGGAGCCTCTGGGGCCGTCTTGGCGCCGTTTTGGGCCGTCTTGGGCGCCTATTGGGACCCTTTTGGGACGTCACGGGGTGGCCTTGGGGGGCTCTTAGACTGGCTGGAACTCTGTGCAGGCTGAAAAGCCGTCGATGCTAAAAATGTACGTTTCCCCAGGGAAAATCAATGATTTTCGCTGCTTTGGACCTTCTTGGAGCGCCCCTTCGGGTCCTCTTGGAGCGTCTTGGAGGCATCGTGAGCTGTCTTGAGCCCATATCGGGGCATCTTGGAGCCACTGAAGGCCACGTGGAGGTCCTCTTGAGCCGTCGTGGTGCGTCCCGGGGCCATGTCGAGGCCACCGGAGGAGTCCCTGCAGGATTTTGGAGCGGATGACCCCCCCGGGGGAATCGGGGGAATCGGGGGAATCGGGGAATTTGGCCGGACCCCCCCCCTCCAAATCGACCGGACCGGGCCCCCAGGGGAGGGATTTGGGGAAGGGGAAGATTTCACACGCCGATGAACCCCAAGGGGTCGGCGGATTTTGTTTTTCCATGTGGGATTGTCAGAGCTCTGGTTTGCAATGTCCTGGCTTGGGAGGCCCAAATCTTTCCTTCTTCCCCCCAGGAGCGACGCGCAGCGAGAGTGTGCCGCCGCCATCTTGGCTGCGCAAGAGGACCGGGAGACCACAACCACGGAGGCAGGAGAAGCGACGCCACCACCAGGAAAGGGGACACCTCCAGCGAGGAGGTGCACGATGGCTCCTCGGGCTGGTAGTGGTGGTGGTGTCGCCTCTAGCTGTTCGGAAACGCATGGTGTGGAATAAAGGTTGCACGGAGGGCGACTAGCAATCTAGCACATAGTTATGAAAGTGCATTGTGTATGTATCTGATTACACAGATGCTTTGGATACACATGACATAGCCAGCCTGAACGAGAGCGGGATACACACGAGGCCAGATGTCTCTCCAGTGTTCATCACTTCTATGGCCGTGTACGCCAGGCTTGCGCATATCCATCCAGCGTGCCGCCTCTTCATCTTCCGCATGTGGGCCCAGACCTCCGACATTTTGTTCCCCAAACACTGTCTGCACGTATGGGGTCTTTGATTTCTCTTCTTAGGGGCTGGGCTCGTCTGCGGGCCCCGCGTCCCCGTTCCCGTCCGTCGCCGCCCCACTAAGTGCTCCCAATAAAAAGGCTCGCCTGCAGGCCTGGCGGCCCTGTTTCCGCCCGTCGCCGCACCACTTAGTTTACACTAAATAGCTCACACCGCGTAGATTGCACCACAGCCCACGCCACGTACAAAACACCTCGCAGTCTGCACGACGTAGTTTACATCACATAGCTTGCACCACATAGCTGGCTTTCACCACGCAGCTTGCACCACATAGCTTGCACCACGTAGCTTGCATCATTTAGCTTGCAGCACATAGCTTGCAACACGTATATGGCAACACGCAGATTGCACAACATAGTTTGAGCCACATACCTGCACCACCTAGCTTGCGCCACATAGCTGACCCAGCACTGATGCACCACATAGCCTACACATTTAAAGTGCAATCACTTACTGCTCGGGTCCCACGCTGCTTTGCATTCTAGTTACAAGCCTGATTGGCCCTTGGAGGTTCAGACCACGTGCTCAGAGACGTTTTTTTCTCCTGAGTCGGTTTTTGACCATTCCAGGGTCCAGTAAGGGCCCCTGGAGCCGAACATTGAGGACGATGTTCCGGTGATGTCTTTGCGAAGCGAGTATTTCTGGGCGTGCGCGCGGATTCCTCTTGTCTGCTCTCAGCTCCCAACGCCCCCCAGCGAGGTCAGGGATCTGCGCTGACTTCAGGAATTGTCGTCAGGTTGCTCTGCTCTGCCCTGATGATTAGTTTTGTGTCGTGGTTGCAAGTGTCGGCCCCTAGACTCGCAAAAACTACTCAGGATGACAGGTTGGTCCGTTGGTCCCCCAGGAAGGGGTGCAAACCTCCGCGGGGAACCTCGGTGGGAATAAAAAACGCCGCCGGATTTCTGGGTAATGTCTGACGGTGGGCTGGGCCTCGGTCGCAGGAAGCCTGCAGAAGTTGTACCCCGCTGGGTATTGTATAGTTTTTTGCCCTCTCCGGATTTGGCCCCTCGCCGACAGAAGTGCACTAAGCCGGCTGTCGTATTTGGGGAGTGGTTTTGAGGTCGGGGGCTTCTCGGGGGCCTCTGGGGGTCTCTCGGGCGTTTCTCGGATCCCTTTTGAGGGTTCCGTTATGTTGTTCGGGCCTCCTTGGGAGGTCTTCGGACCGTCTGGGGATTTTTTCGTATCGTTTAGGGAGTCCTGGGCCATCGTTTCAGGGCCCGTCTTGGAGTGATCTCGGGCAGTCTTGGGGTGATCTTGCCTTGGTCTTGGGCCGTGACGGGCCGCTTTCGGGTTCTGGGTTGTCGTCTTGCCATCTACAGGGTATTCCAGAGGCAATCTTCCCAGAGGAAAGGGCAAACATGCCAGCGTGGTTCAATGATTGTTGTATTCCGGAGATCTCGTGAAGGCTTTTCTGGGCCTGGGACGTCCCAGAAGGGTTTGATACGTTTTCGATTCGTATTTTAGTCGTTGTGCGAGCTCTTGGAGTTGTCTTTGGGTCTTGTTTGGCCATCCTGCAACCTTCCTTCTGGTGTATCGGGCTCATCCTAAAGTCATGTTGGGGCCCGCAACCCTCCATACGGCAAGCACATTGAGGGCTTATCTTATGCTCCAAGTGGCGCAATTGCAGGGCAAGTGAGCTAGTACGACGGAGGCACTGTCATGCCATAGGGAGTACTGATACATGTGTACACATGGGCACAGCCCATCTCAATGCAACACCGATATAATGCACTTGCCAATCGGAGGGATGTACTTGAGGATATGCAAGTTTGACCGTGCTATCATTCTGATGCACAAGTACCACAAACGCAACGTACAAGTAGTGCGATCGAGGAACGCTTGTAATGGCACTGGAACTAAAGCACAACACGCCACCATCACCGCATATGCAAATGCAGTGAGGTCGCATACAACATCAGTGCAACCTAATATCGAAGCAGTGCATAAACAACACGAGCGTATGGCAAATCATTGCAATGCAATGCAACGGATGGGAATGTATCGTGCATACACGTCTACTGCAGACGCGACGGAGCTCACGCAAACACACTGCAACCATACAATGCCAACGCAAAACACAATTTAGGCAAACGCACTGCAATACAATTCATTTGCAAAGCGATGAAATGGACAATAGCACAAATACCAAGCAACGCAAACGCAATGCAAGCGCAGTTCAAACTCAATAGAAGCGCACTGGAAAGAACAATGACACATCAATGCAATTGCAATGCCAGCAGCAACGTAAAAGCAACGCAACGCGTCAATGCCACATCAAGTCAGTTCGCAATTAACTGACAGCCACAACCGCCCGAATTTTCAGTTATCCGCGTGGTGTCAGATGCCAACGCCGAAGTCGTCACGACATGAACCTGCCTGCCGTAGTCAGAAGCCTGGCGGCTCAAACAAGACTAGAGGCGGACGGTGGTTCGCAATCCTTGTCCTCTGGAGGACTTGTTTCGGGCCCCAGGGTCGCAAAACGACTCAGGATGGAACTGTTGGCCCAGAGGAAGGGGTCGAGAGTTCTGGGGGCCCATTTCTGGAACACGTCTTGCCGTCGTATCTCTGGGTGGTCGGGCCTTGCCACACCAGAGAACATCTGTCCAGGCGACACGGCTGCAGCCACCGCCCCGAGCCCCCTCCCCCCCGACAGGAGGCGTACATGACCACGAGGCAGTTCAACTGCCTCAGGGTGCTGCCCAGCGGCCTTCGCAGGTGGATGACGCAGCTCGACGTCCCCGGTGGTTCGGGTGAATCGTTTGTCCAGAGCAAGCAGACGAGCATGGTCGAGCATGAGTTCGGCGTCGTGATCTTCGCCGTCGCTGGCGAGGCCGCGCCCTCGGACTATGGGCTGGGCGACACGGTGGACGTCAAGGTGGGCGGCGCCTGGTGTGTCGGCGAGGTCTTGGCCGACGGCGACACCGCGGAGTGCAATGGCAAGGTCTCGGGGGTCAGTCCAAGCGGGGTCCGAGCAGATCTGCGACCACTTGGGGACATCCCCGCCGGGTTCACTTGTCGGCTGCAGGCATCGTTCAAATTCTGAACCCGAGCTGTTTGTTGTTTCTTTTGAAAATCTGGCCTGCAGCGGCTGGGCCCATATGTGGTTGCCTAGGCAATGCGGAGTCCAGTTTTTCCGTCGTCGCCGACGCATCGCCCATGTATTGACGATACGTCGGCGACGTCGATGGACCCTATTCGCTCGGACCCCAGTGTGGCGGCCTCCGAAGGTCAAGGTCAGCGTGTCTGGACAGGCTGGCGGATCGCACAAGGGGGTGGCGCGAGCGGGGCGGTTGCCTGGGCAGACGGGGGAGCTCAGAAGGCAGGGGCCTTCTGAGGCTGGAGGGCCTGGAGGCTTCTAAGAGGGCATCCTGGAAGTCGTGAGGGCTTCTAAGAAGCCCATTGCTTTCTAAGAAGCTCCGGCTTCTAAGACGGCCGCATCCCTCGCGCGACCCCAGACATCCGATGTTTTCTCTGTACACAACGTGGCTCCAAAAGGTCTTGTCTGGACCACTTCCCGGGGACCAGATGTTCGTCCAGAGAGGGAGGTTCATTGTCGCGGGGCCTCGTGGGTGCCCTTGGTGTTCAGAACCTTACGTCGTGATTTTTCCACGACGCGAGGATGTCAGGGAGCCCGTGTGCGCGCCGCCACAGGAGCATGCCGTCGAGAAGGGGGACGTCCAGGTGTTGGGTGTTGCCAAAGGTGTCCGTTGCCGAAGGTGCTCGCAGGATTTTCCGTGAGGTCCAGATGGTCTCTACAGCACACCCCTTCGCGGCCCAGATGGCCCCAGGTGCTCCAAAATGGCGCGCAAAGCTGGTGACACCTTGGGCCATTTTCGAGACAAAGCACTGCATGGGCCCGGCACGGCACGGAATTAGTTTGGCAGTTTCGATGACAAACTATGTTTTTCTGTTTGACAACATTGGGCTACTTACAGAATTCGCTGTTCACGGAGAAACTGCAAAGAGATTAACCCAATTTGGGTTGCAGGGCCTGGCCTCCTGGAGCGCCCCCACTCGAAAAGGTGAGGCGCCCCCCCGACAGCCTGGTCATCGTGAGCCACCAGTTAAAGGCCCGTGGCCTCGCTCGCCTGCGGCTGCTGAGGCTGGGCGATAAGCCGCCTCCTCCTGATGCTGCTGCTGCTGCTCCTCCCCGTCCTCCCTCTCCTCGTTGCTGCTGCTGCTGCCCCTCCTCCTCCTCGCTCCTCCTCCTTCGCTCCTCCTCCTCCTCCTCCTCCTCCTCCTCCTCCTACACAATTACACAATATGAAAATACTCCCCCACTTCCCCTGATGGCGTCCCGAAGATATCCGACACCCCCCCGCGTCTTGTTTTTTTACACACAGGATTCCCGGGAAACGGGTTTTCGCTTTTGTTTTTTTTCAAAATGCTGCTCTCGCTGAGGCGCCGGCCTCATTTCTGCCCCCGAATCGTTCCGAATCGTGCTCCCGCTGCAGCGTGGGCCTCATTTTCGGATCGGTGTTTGGCCTCCGTCGTTCAGGATGGCGTTCTCGCCCCAGCGCGGGCCTCTTTCTCGCGCGCCCATCCGCCCGCCACCACCGCGCCGCGCCCACCACCACCCACCACCACCACCACCACCACCACCACCACCACCACCACCATCACCACCACCACCACCACCACCACCACCACCACCACCACCACCACCACCACCACCACCACCACCACCACCACCACCACCACCACCACCACCACCACAACTACACACGCACGCACGCACGCACGCACGCGCACCACCACCCACTACGCACGCGCGCGCGGAGCCACAAGTCCGCTACGACACGCGTCCGCGGATAGAGAAAATCAGCGCCATGGCAAGGGATGGGAGGGAGGGGTAGGACGTCAGATATGACGCGAGCGCACCTAGCTTGCCCCTCCCCCATATCCTCCTCCTCCTCCTCCTCCTCCTCCTCCTCCTCCTCGTCCTCCCGTAGCCATTTTGGCTCAAGCCTCCACGGGCCTCCTCGTGTGGGGCTCCCTCCAACCTCGGCCCAAGGTGGTTCGCCAACCATTCCTTTGTGCCCCAGCGCGGGTTCTGTTAGGTTTCCCATCAAAACCTTCATTCATATCGCACTTCTAGTCCTGAAGCCATCCATGTCTTCCCCCTTCTGGCTATGCGCGACGCCCCGCTGCCCAGGCTGGGTGTGGCCTTGCAAAGGAAAGCGAAGGTGCAAGTATTGCAGGGAGATTTTCCCCAAGGACTAACACTACCCAACTTCCTCGACTCCTCCCTGGAGTACCTCAGCTACATGGGGGACTGAGACTGGGAGGGGCGGCTGGAAGTGGGTGGAGGAGGACGCAGCAGCTACAGGTGGTATGGGTGGTGGAGGCGGCGGCGGCGGCGGCGACGTCCAGCAGCAGCCGACCACCGTGCCCCCACCCAAACAGGTTGGGCTCCAAAACACTAAATGGGGTGATCGTGAAAAGTACCGTAGCGATCCAGTCTACAAGGCCCAGGTCGATCTCAACATCGCTAAAAGTTTTTATGGGCCAGGTGAGCCAGAGCTTCTTCAAGCCCAGCAGGCCCTCCAGGATGCGAAGGCGGCCGCCTTTGCAAATCGACCCCTGCCAGTTCAGGCCAAGTCGCTGGCCGACCAGATCGACATCCAGAACAAGAAGTTGGCTACAACTCTTAGCGAAATGGCCGCCCTCGAGGTCTCCATCAAATAGCAAGTGGAGCGCCACGAGCAGTTCCAGCTCGAGTCCGACTCCACGGCCCAGGAAATCAAAACCCTGGAAGTCTCCTACGCCACCATCTCACGAGCTGCAGCAGCGTCCATGGTCGAGGACCAGCAGGACGACCTGTACACACATGTCCAGCAAATGCAGCAGGCTACTTTTCATAAGCTTCCACAGCTGCCACCGGAACAACATAATCTCCTCCAATCGATGTTCCTTCAACTATCGGGTCTACTTGATCAGCTTGCCCGCAACAGCGCCCCAGCTATGGCGCCCGCGGCCCCAACAGCGGCCCCAGACCTACATCCCGGCCTCGACCCTGCAGGTGCAGAAGGTTCAGGAGCAAGAGCCGAGGAAGCATCAGGAGCAGCCGCAGACGCGCCCATGGAGGAGGAGGCAGGAGAAGAAACGGTCAGTGTTCTTGCTTCCAGAGTCTCTCATTGGGTACGGGGCGTCGCAGCTCGTCATCCCAAGCAGTGCGGTGCGGCCATTCCTCTCATCTCCTCCCTCAAGAAGTCCTCTGATAAGGGCAAGGCCATGGGAAAAGGAAAACAGGGGCGTGGGGGCAGCGGGAACGAAAAAGGAAGCGACGTTGGTGACCTCCAGGCCCGCTTGGAAGAAGCCCGGGTCCTCGCAGAGTCCGCCCCGCCATCCACCCCAGGTGCAGGTGCGGCCGCAAGCGGCCCTAGTGGAGGTGTCGGGGGCGGCCCGCCCCAAACCCCAGGCATCCCCCCGCAACCCGTGGAGGGCAGGGGTGCTGGGTATCTACTTTGATCCGGCGGGCCTCCCAGGCAAGGACGCTACTAGCTGGCAGTGCAAAGTGGTTACTATAAATGTGAATCCGTGGAATACTTTCAAGCATGACATCGAGTCGGATAGAATTCTCCAGTACCACGTCCTTTTGCTCCAGGAGACCCACATTTCTTCGACAGATGATATTCGGAGTGCAGTGGAGTTCAGCATGACACGTGGATGGCATGGAGTCTTCTCTCTCTCGGAGCGCCTCGAATCTGGAAAGTTTTCTGGGGGGGTCGCAATTCTCGTTCGGACGGGGATGAACTTCGGGATCCAGGACATTGATTTCGAGTACCCCTATAGTCACCGAGTCCTTGCCATCAAGCTTGAAATTGAGAATCTGGGTCGTTTTCTGATTTGCAGTCTCTACTTCGAGCCCAGCACGGACCTAAAAGAGGTAAACATGAAGTTGCTGGGTGCCGCCGGCAGTCTCCAGGACAAGTTTGAGTTGCCGTTGTTAGCAGGAGGGGATTTCAACATGGCTTCGAAGCAGCTGCTCTACTTAGACTTTCTGCACCGAGCTAGTCTGACCCTCTGCGTCCCCCAGAAGTTCACCTATTCAACTAGCACAAGTAAGACAACCATCGGTTTCTTCTTGCTGTCAGCGGCCATCAAGAGCCAGGTGGAGGGAATCGAGTCGGCGACTGACTACCCCTTTCACCTCACCGACCAGTCATTCTCTCCCTAAAGGTCAATGCTTTGGAAAAGGTGCCAGTTTTCGTATTGCCGCCTCAGCTTCCCACCAGGAGACCCTTTGGGCCAGCGCCAGAAAGCGCAGACTGGGAGGATCTTGACCGCCTTTTGGATGTAATTTTGGACACTATCCAAACTAACCAACTCCCCCCAAAGGAAAGCCATGGTTTACTAGATGCTGTGCATGGTCTGTTCGCCAAGCACTTCGAGCATGCCGTTTGTCTGAAGACGGATGCCCCGACACCCAAATCTTCCAGGAGAGGGCAGTATCCTAGAGTAAAGTTTGTCCCAGCGCAGGCGGTGCATAAGAAAGCGAGGAAATCTTGGGCTTCACTCGTCAAGCCAATAAATTGGCTCCAGAACTTCTTGCAACATCTGCTGAGACATGCGGCAGCGGGCCCTGAAGTATCCAGAGATTTCGTCGACCATGTTATTTCCGAGTTCTCCGAGGCACCGCGAGAGTACCAATCGGTGCGGACCTTAATTGCAGTGCACGCTGACACCAAGGCTCTTCTCACCGCCTTGGCCACAGACGTCCGGGCAGGGAGCTGCGGTTCAACAGTGCCCAGGGATATATTCACGAAGCATTATGCCGACATCGAGCTAATCCTCCAGGAGGAGAAGGATGTTGAGAGGAAGGGATCGGCAGAAGCATGGAAGGAATGGGTGCGAGAAAACCTAGAGGGCACGCCTCCGGGGTGGGTCCGCAGGTGGACTAAACCGACCGATTTCTGGAAGCCCACGCCCCCCCAGGCCCTACTTCCCTCGGCAAAGCCTTCGGCCCTGCTTGAAATGGAAGCCCGGCGTCTAGAAGGCATCTGGGGGTCCACGTCCACACCGCCAACACCCTTTGAGGCCGACCCATCGGATGCAGCGCAGCTCCCAGAAATATCAGTGGAACAGTTCATTCGGGTCACCAGGATGTTTTCCCACAAGACCAGTCAGACTTGGGGCGGCTTCCACCCGGGGCACTACGGGCCCCTCGAACCAGAGCAGGTTTTGGTTACCATCAAGCTGTTTCAGTTAGTAGAGAGAGTGGGTAAGATGCCAAGTGTGGTGCTAGCTCTTCACCACTCTCATTCCCAAGCACAAGCCTGATGATCGAGGTCAAAGTTTTCGTGGAACCGGTTGCCTTCCCAGTCCTTACCGGATATGGCTCAGGTTACGGCAACCTGTCTGTAGAGAATGGGAGGCCAGGAACTTCGACCCCCTCATGGCCCACCAGTCTGGCAGATCAATTCTAGAGGTCGTCTACCTGCAGTCATTGGCAGCTGAATCCACGACCTTATCCAGGAACATGTTCTCGGGATCCTTCCTATGGGACTTCAGTAACTATTGCGAGCATGTCTGTAGAGAACTTATCTGGTCGAGGGCCAAGAAGTCCCAGTTCTCCCTCGCAGTATTAGCGGTGGTACTCAATCAGTATGGGTCCAAGAGGTTCTTGAGTTTCTCAGGCCTTGCAGTAGAACTCCAGTATCCTCACTTCGGGATCGCAGCGGGTTGCTCATTTGCTACCTTCATCGTGCAGGTGTATTCCTTGCCTCCGCTACGAGTGTGGCAGAGGCGGCACCCGACAATTATTGCGACGATGTTCATCGACGATCTCCATGGTAACAACACCAGCGACAGCCGGCAGAAAGTGGTCAATCAGCTAACGGCAGCGGCGGCGGATCTGTCCAGCATGATCCAGCACGAGTTGGAGTGCCAAGTCGCCCAGCGCAAGTCGGTGATCGTATCTTCCTGCCCCAGGCTCACGGAAATGTTGAAAACGAATTTCGGAAAGTACGCTGGCAGGGCCCTCTCATCAACGCCCAACTTGGGAGTTGATTATTTCTGCGGGGCCAAGAGAGCCAAAAAAGCGAAGCTGCTAGCGGAACGTTTTTCGAAGCTCAAGAAACGTGGATCCAGGCTCCGGGCCCTGAAGAAAACTGGAGCCCCTTTGAAGAAACTTTACGTGTCAGGTCTTCAGGCCTCAGGCTTTTACGGTGCAGAGGTCGTGGGGCTCACTTCCCCGGAGCTCAGTGCAGCCCAGACGCATTACATCTCCCTCGTCGGCAGCTCCTGCAAGAGCCGCTCACGCAGCATATCAATGGCAGTCTTGGGTGACCCACTCTGGAAACAGGGGCTGGGTCCAGCTATGCAGTGGGCCACGATTGTATGGAAGTCAATGAGCAATGGGAGGTTCAGATCTATCCACCCTCTCTCCGAGCTGGGGCGTCTATTTCGTGAAGTCCTTCAGCAGCCTCCTGCAAACTGGGGGGGAGTGAGAGGACCAGCAGGTGCAGCAATCTTGAGCCTGAAGCGAATCGATTGGCAATTCGTATCCCCGTTCGAAATAGTCACCGATCTTGGATACCGATACGCTCTAACCGATACCGCTCCCAAGATGATCCATGAGCTAATGCATGCTGCCTGGAATCGCCGAACGAACAGGTTGGCCGCCGACAAGCTAGGAATCGACCGATCGGATCAGCTCGATTCGTCTGGTATCCGATCCCTGTTAGCGTCAGCGGAGCTCTCGGCTAGACACAGGAATTTGCTGAGGGCATTCTCCTGCCAGAGTATATGGACAAAGCATCGTTTATGGTGTCTTGGTTATGATACTGATTCGTCGTGCCTCTGTGGTAACGTGCGCGACGATATTCACCATCGGCTGTTCACGTGCCCTCTTACCCAGCATGTGCGTGATGAGTTATTGTCAACAGAAGATCTGGATATTCTTACCCAGCCAGATGTGGTCTCTCATCAACTGTTAGGCTTTCAAGTGTGCCCGTCTTTCCAAACAGTTCCCCCTGAGGGGATTGGACACGAAGAGTACGAATGGTGGTCTGCAGACGGATCGCCTCCTGAAGTAGCGCTGAGGGGTGTAGTCTTCTCTGACGGGTCTGCCTACAAGGATGGGCACAGATTCTTTCACCGGGCGGGTTGGGGACTTGTGAAGCTGTCCGATAGTGGCGAGGTCCTCGCCAGGATGCGCGGCAGAGTAGGTAACCTTCTGCCCCAGAGTAGCCCAGCAGCTGAGCATGTCGCAGTGTTGGCAGCTGTAACATACGCACCGCTAGTAACAGAAATTCGAGCAGACTATAAGGGAGTGGTTGGCTTGCACTCCCAGCCTCGAGAGACCCTCCTGTATAGGAAGTCGTTTTACGCAGGAATCAAGATGCGTATAGTAGGACTCTCCGCTAATGGTGTTGCCTGCTCTAAGGTGGCTGCCCATTTAGATCCCTCGTCGTTCCCTGAAGGCTCAGCTGAATGGTTTAATGCCGTGGGAAACGACGAAGCAGACAAAACTGCCAAACTAGGTGCCAATTCGCACTTACAGCCATCGAGTGCCGAGGCGGAAGATCAGGCAAAGACTACCAAAGCTTTGGAGTCCTACCTTAAATTCGTCGCTAGAGCTCTAGAGGTTTTTCCAGCGCTGCCCAAACCCCGTGGCCGGAAGGGGTGCCGCTCCAGATTGAAGAGAGCGGGGCCTCGATGGGAGTGCAGGGCAGTGTACAGCTACCGCGACGAGGTTTTGGGCAAGTATAGACCAGCTTCGGCTGGTACGGCGCCAGGGAATGGGGTCAATTCGGCAGGCGGGGGTGCTTCTTCCTCCTCCGCCCCACTTCCGCCTGCCCCATTCCGCCCTCCACCTTCTCCCTTGGTGCCGGCAGGAGCCACCAACAGAGAAGGTGTGCTAAGGCCCGCTTCTTCGGTCACGCAGGCGCCCCAGCCTGAGGTAGCAGGCCAGGCCCAGAGCCACAATTGGAAATGGATTAAGCAGAATATGTGGTCCTGCCGCGTCTGTTACACCAGATGCAGGGCAGAGTACCCGCCTCAGACCACAGCGTGTACAGGATACAACGCCGCTTTCAGCGCAATCGCTGCCAATCCGCGCAACCACAGAATTTATATTGCTAGTTACAATGAGGATCGCTTAATATTTGTGTGCTCCTCCTGTGGATGTATCTGCCAGGGCCGGCGAGCAGTAGGGCTTACAAAGCCTTGCAATGAGAGGTTCACCAGCCATCATAACAAGTCTAATTGGGACAAAATGTTCCAGAGAAAGCACCCAGACCCTTCCAAAGGAGAGGCTAAGGTGCTGGACGAACTGCTCCCCCTCAGCAGTTTGTTTTAACGGGTTTCGAAAGCAACTGTCTCCCCCCTTCCCTCTCTTCCTCGCCTCCTCTTGGCCTTCCTTCTTATCTTTCAGTTGCGCTTAGCCTTTCGTTCCAGACCGGCACGAACAGACGGAGGCGGAAACAGACGGGGGCCGGGAGAAAACGGACGCTTTAGGACACTGGCGTTGTCACGGTTTCCGCCCTGGACTGTCGTGGCCTAGATGTTTGTTTTCTTGTAGCGCTTCTGTCGCTCGCCAGTTGGTTCTAGTTCTCGAACCCAGCGCTGAATCCGAGTCCAATCCAATCCAATCCTCCTCCTCCTCCTCCCCCTCCTCCTCCTCCTCCTCCTCCTCCTCCTCCTCCTCCTCCTCCTCCTCCTCCTCCTCCTCCTCCTACCCCCCTCCTCCTGAGGCTGGGCGACGAGTGGATGCCGGGCAGGTTCGCGAGGGAGCTCGCGGGGAGGACCTCGACTGAGCCTGGCCTCGACGAGGAGCCGGAGAACAAAGAAATGAACGTGGCTTTCGGGCGTTGTCATCGGTTCTCTGCAGTTGTCCAGCCTCGGGATGAGTTCCAGCAGCTGCGCCTCGCCGAGAGCGTCCCAGGGACGCCCGAGTCGCTCCGAAGGGTCGCTGGAGGCCCGAGCTATTGCCCGGAAGTCATGCGACGAGGATGGGGTCGGACGAAAAGGGAGGCATGAGGCCGTGGGAGGCGCTGGGAAAACGAGCTGAATAAGGGAGCTGATTCGCTAGGCGGCACCATGCCAGACCTCCTCGCATTGTGACAGAGTCGCGACGGACGGTTTTTGGCCGTTTCGGCCGTTGGGGGCCAGTGCTGGGCCCCGAGACCGTCAAAGAACAACTCGGGATGAAGAGCCAGTCCCAGGGAAGGGGTCGAGACATTTGGGGCGGGTCCGCGTTGCGGAAAAATCGCGACGTCGGAGGTCAGGGTGTGTAATTCTCCCCGTGGGTCCGCCCTGATGTTTACTCATGCGTACGTGCAGTTTCGGAGGTCCGCGCGGACTTGTCGGGTCGGCCCTGGAGTCCCCCCTTCCTTGACGCGCCAAGCGCTCCAGCGGTGGCGCGGCGGCGCCAGAGGCGCCGCTGAGGAGTGCAGTGCCGACCCAGAGATTCGCGCGGAACTCCGAAATGTTGTTATTTTACAGTTGTTTGTTCTTCTAGAGGAGGTCGTCGAGGTCGACGTCTTCCTCTTTTCTTTCTCCTTCCCGGGAAGGAGGGGCAGGTGGGATGATGAGGAGGAGGGGGAGGAGGAGGAGGGGGAAGAGGAGGAGGAGGAGGAGGAGGAGGAGGAGGAGGGGGAGGAGGAGGAGGAGGAGGAGGAGGAAGAGGAGGGATTTGCTTGCAACAGTACCTGCACTTGCCTGGGGCGAAGGACTCCCTTTCATCGCCCTTGTCCGTCTGATCCTGTCTCACAGTGTACACCCATTTTAAAGGTAGTAACCTCAGGCACTCCTGCACCTTTTTGGTGCTGCGCATATGGCGCCTCTTCAGCTTGATCCTTTTTCGGGCCTGCTGCTGCCTCTGCTTTCGTTCTTCACCCAGTGGTCTTCTCGCTCTCTTCTCTCCATTTCGGCTTCGACTCTCTGGCCGCACGACCGACCGACCGACCGACCGACCGACCGAGGAGGAGGGAGGGATAATGATAAGGGGCGGTAGGAGAATGGATGTATGGAGGGAGGAGGTATGGGAGTGGGAAGGAGGGAGGGAGGACCTGTGATGTCCCAAACCCGGATGGCGCGGCGACAGAAGCTTCTGAAAGGTCCGTCGAGGGCGCTCTGGTAGCTCTGGAAAGGAGCTCCTCGAAAGTTTGTCGGCACACGTATTGGGAAACAGTTAGAAAAGGCCTGCCGCAACACGCTGCCGGCTCACACAGCTTGCTGCGAGGTGTTCTGCCAGAAGTTGGAACGATCTCCGCAGCGACCCTGCGGTGCAGGCTTCTCATGTCATAACCCTTTAGCTCTACAAGGAGCTGCCCAGGAAAAGGAGGAAGGAAAGGAGGAAGGAGGAAATCCGCGTGGGTAAGAATTGACTTCATCATGAAAGGTTGAAAAGGTGTGGAGGGACGTTGGACACCTCCCTGCAGCTGTCTTCGTTGGCCGAGGGGCTGCAGGGAGGTCCTTGCCCCCCCTCTGATGGCTATTGACGCCATCATGGTAGATGGGAGTGGGAAGCCACGCAGTCCCCATTATGGAAGCTGCGCAGGGTGTGAGGCCTATTGACGGTCCTCACTGGCGAGGCCTTAAGACGGTCCTCGCCAGAGGGGGGGCGGAGAGGAAACGTGTCGGCGCCCTTGGTGGTGTTGGGAGGAGAAGATGGAGGAGGGAGGAAGTTGTGATGAGATGAGACAGAGCCCTGAAGACGGTTCGTGGAGGCCTAGTTCAGGTCTCCTTAAGACCCCACGGAGAGAGCCGAGGTGTCGGGCAAACCGCCTTCTGTGAGAAGCCCGAAGCGTGCACGCTCTCGACCCAGCAACGGGGCAGCCCCCACGGCTCCCGCACACGGGCACACGGGTGGGGCCCGCAGAGGCCGCCGCAAGGCCCTACGAGCCGTCGGCGCGAGGGGGCCAGGGCCGACGGGCCACCTCGGGGGTAAAAACCTACGCCAGCCGCGCCGGAACTTCGGTCGGCACGCCGACAGGCAGGTCCAAAACAAGGTCCTTCAACACGGCTTTCTACGACGGCCACTGCCTCGCTCTGAGACGTTAGAGCGGACCCTGCAAACCTGAGCCCGCGTGCTCCCGAAGGCAGGGCCCCAGAAGGTCCCTCGTTTGTCTTGCACCCCGTGGAGTCGGCCCCGCAGGCGCAACATGAAGTCAGCGCTCGGTCGTCTTCGCGCCCGTCGCGCGCCGTGACCCGCGCACACACAGCAGAGGGTGGCTGTTGAAATTGTAGCCCATCTCCGCTCAGTCGTCCCAGCCGTCGGCTGGGCGAGCAAGGGACAGGGGTGGCGAGTCGGGAGGCCTTGGGGGAGGCTGCTCAGGATGGGCTTCCACAGCCTCGCCTGGCGCTTCCCCGAGCTCTCCCTGGTCGTCGTGATCCCGCCCGACCAGTCCGACCCCCACCCACGAGTGAACCTCCGCCGTCCACTGGGCAGCCTCACGGCACAGCTCCGTGAGCTTTCGCCAGCGGTGTAAGTAATCTTCCTTAACTCCGTGCAGGAGGCCGCCCTGCTTAGAAAACTCGTTTGTCGCGTCGTTCCCAAGCTATTTTCAAAGCGTGGTCTCCCCATTGCAGATATCAGCCAGCGTTGACTCCAATTTGATAGGAGGACAGGAGGAGGACGAGAGGAGGATGGGAGGAGGACGAAAGGAGGACGGGAGCAGGATGGGAGGAGGCCGGGAGGAACAACATCTAGCAAACGCAAATAAGCAAGTGGAAGCAAGCAAGCGCAAGCGAACAATATAAGCAAGCAAGTGCCAGCGACCAAGTGCAAGCACGCAAGGGCAAGCAACAGCAATCAAGCGAGAGCAAGCATGCAAGAGCAAGCAAACAAGCGCAATTGGAAAAAAGGGGGGCATTGGAAAAAGGGATCACTCCAGCGACGACGAGGACGTGGGTCGCTGCCATGGCTGCAGGTGCTGGTGCTTGTCCCACACCGCAGGGCTCGAAGTTTGTTGTGATCGCGCTGGGTTTGGAGAACTTCGAGATGAACCCGAGGTGCTCGGGGTCGTCGATACTGAGAGAGTACAATCGCCGTCGCCATCGCTCCAGTCAGGATATGACCACCAGAGGGCACGACGCCAACGCCTTTTATAGATTCGCGCATTGCTGCAGATGAGAATATGGCGAACTATGATCGATACGTCCTGGTGGACACCAGAGCTCTGAACGATCCGACTTACACACGCCACATCGGGCATCATCCGGACATCTTGCGCAATTCATTTGAGAATCAATAGTTTGCTGGCATCGCTGAGTGTGTAGGAAAAGATTAGGCGAATAACCAGTATCCACCGTCTGTGCGTATTGTTGCCATCTGTCGGTCTGGTTGGCGTCGCTCTGTTTGCAGTCAGTTCTGGTATCACGCAGTTCTTGAAGCAGTATGATATCGAATGCAGTTCTGCTAGCCTGAGCCATCATGAGTGGTCCCAGCGTACTTGCAACGGGGAATGCGATGACTGCTGCAAGGTATCTGATTGGGGCCGTGAGATGGCGCGTACTGCGACTGACAAGGTTGTTTCGCTCTTTTTTTGCATATTTCGAGAAGTTCAGTGCAATGCCGCCTTCAGTTCCTGAGCCATCTGTACAGCGCAAACTCCGTCACGGGGCTGAGCTGGCCAGGAGAGAGGAGAAGAGATCCCGCGCTTCATCGAGTGCGGTTGACGGAGTGGACGACAACGAGGGGCAGGAAGGGAGGACGAGGAGCGAGGAGGACGAGGCCAGGGAAGACAGGGCCACGGAGCAGGAAGCGCTTGCACTGCTGGCGCGGCACTGGAGGAAAGTCTGGGGGCGCGAGCTTGCGCCGCAGGAGGAATGGCAGCAACGGGTCGAGGACACGCTGCCGCCTGCGTCGGAGGAGATCTGGCGACCCGTGTGTCCCATGGAGCTGCGGGCGCCATGGGCAGGCTACGGGGATCCGCTCCTGGAGCTGACGTTTGGCACGGAGATGAGCTCGCTTCGCTCTACTGCCCTGCGGTGGCCCACCACCTTGCTGACGTCTTCAATTTTATGCTGGACCAGGGCTGCGTGCCCACAGAATGGCGCAAGGCGCGGGAAGTAACGCTCCCAAAGGAGGGCAAAGGGAGGAGAAAGAAGGATGGGAGCATAGCTGCGCAGGCGCTGGGACCCATCACCATCTTGAGCTGCTGGTGGCGCCTGCTCGGCAGCGTGCTGCTGCGGCCCCCCGACGCCCAAGCGTGGCAGAGGACATGGCGGAGGGAGGAGGCAGTTGGAGGACGCAGGGCTGGAGAGGTGTACATGCCGCTCATGCGCCTCATCGACTCGTACCACCAGGGTGACTTCATCGCGTCCTATGACTACACGTTGGCTTTCGACCAGACCGACCCCAAACTGGCAGTCGCGGTGTTGAGGAAGCTCGGGTGCCCGCGCGCGGTCGCCGCTATCCTGGAACAGGTGTGGACCGGACAGCTCCGGTACTTGCAATGCCAAGGAGTCACACTCAGGCAGCCGGAGGAGGTGGGCACCTCGGTGCCCCAGGGCGACCCGTGGTCCATGATAGCTATGGTGGCGGTCCTACACCTGCCGATCACCGCCATCGTGGCGCGCATCCCTGGGGCGGAGTTCTCCTGCTTCGTGGACGACAGGTCGTGGAAGTCCAGCACTGCGCAGGAGCTGCTGGCAGTCGGTGGGGAGTGGAGGAAGTGGTCGCTCGTCTTGGGCCTCAAGGAGAACGAGGCGAAGTCCCAGCACGCCCACCGGACGGCCGCGGGCAGGAAGCAGCTGCTCAAAGCAGGCGCGCCGGACACCGCGGTGACGGACGCTCCAGAGATCCTCGGGGTGGGCTTCTGCAAGGGGGCCAGCCGCCAAGGAGGAAGAGGAAGGAAGTATACCAGGAAGGAGGAGACGAGGCTGAGGAGGGCCAAGGTGATGCTCGAAAAGAGCGCGAGCCTGCCAGTCTGCAGAAGGATGAAGGAGGCGACGATGGCAAGCAAGGCGCTGGCAGTCGCCGAGTACGGCTGGATCGACAGGCAGATGAACAAGAGGGGCGAGACGCAGCTACAGGCGGCGATCGTGAGGGCGAGGCAGGAGCCCAAAGCAGGGAGCCCCCACCTCCGGGCCATCTTCCGCGGCCACCGGCTCAGTGTCAGGTGCCGCCTGCTGACAACTGCCTTCGTGGCAGCGTGGCGCACCCTCTGCAAGGGCCAGCGGCGGGCCACGCTGGGAACCTGGAGGAGGCAGGAGGGATGCTCTGGCCGGATCCACGCTCCTGCAGGGCTGCGGCTGGCAGGAACGCGCCGAGTGGGAGCGGGGGCGCCCAGTCACGGGCGTCATTCTCAGCCTGAGCAAGGGCAGCGAGCACCGGTCTGAGTGCAAAGGACGCCTCGAGCACGTGCTCCGGGAAGGCCGGCGCGCGAACCTATTCGGGAGGTGGCGGGGGCAGAGCCGCATCGACTCGTCTCTGCGCCGGTTCGAGCAGTGCGACGAGCGGCGCTGCAAAGCCGCGAGGCCCCTGGCAGAGGGCAGCACGCGCGCGGCCAGCGCGATGTCTGGAGCCTTCGTCTCGCCGGCGCACCTGCAGGCGGCGAAGGGCAGAGAGGAGGGAGGGGGGGGGGAGGAGGACGAGGACAACGACAAGAAGGGCGGGCAGCAGTGCAGGAGCATTGCCCCCGCTGTGGGAGGGGCGAGGCGCCGGACTTCGAGCGCGTGGTCTGGCGATGCGAGGCGGAGATCAGGCCCGTAGGCCGGCCACAGGATGCGCTGCAGCGGCGCCTCCTCTGGCCGACTGGCCTGGAACGCAGGGGGGAGGTGGGCGCCGGCCTGCTGCGGCGGGCCCTCGCCATGCGCAAGGCGATCCTGGAGGAGCGCCGCGGCAGGAGGCCGGCCGAAAGCGCCGGCAGCGCGCCCCCGGGGAGCTGAGGGCAGGGCGAGGAGGTAGAGGAGGCGAGGAGCCAGAGGGAGAGGTTGAGGGAGGGCGAAGGCATAGGAGGAAGAGGAGGTAGAGGCAGAGGCGAAAAGACTTGCAGGGAGGAGAGAGGGAGAGGAGGAAGAAAGGATGCATTTTCACATATGTGCACTGTTATGAAGTTGCAGCGTGCATCATTCAAGCTTGTGTGAGTGGACGACAGCGACATGGCCACTGTCATCCGCGAGCACATCAGAACGATCTGGCGGGGACGTTTTGGCTCTGAGTATATTGAGGCAGATTTCAAGGTCATGATGAGGTGATATGCTGGGAAGAATTGCAATTCTATTTGAAAGTCTGTCACGAGGACAACAGGACGCCTGCGTATTCGTATGCGTTTTGTACGCATTGCTCGTGAGAATGCAGAAAGTGGTAGTTTTCCCAAACCTGTTGGTGGTAGTTCTTCCTCTGCTGCTGCACCGCCGCCACCTGTCGCCGCATCGTCTTCTGCCGCTGTATCATCACCCCGTCATATCAGGCACGAGATCCGCAGGGCGATGACGACGACGCGCCGATGAGAAAGGCCCGCGTGAGCAGCGCCGGCAAAGTTACGGGTCTGCCGCCGGGCGAAGCTGTCCTTCCGGGCACTGTCGTTCGCCTTCCTGGAATGCCACCTATGATGCCGCCGCCCAAGCACAAACCTGCTGTCCTCGTTCCGAGGCAGCCGGGCGGACCGCCGCCTGCGCGCTTCAGGATTCCCCTGCCACCTACCCACCGGAGCCGCCGCGCAGGGCAGAGCCGCTGCCGCCACCACCGCCGCCTCTAGCAGCGACGACGAGTCGAACGAGACTCGTGCGTCTCGTTCAGGATCCCCGACTTCTTGTCGAGACGGACCTGGCCGCGGTGGGTGGTAATCGGGCCGGGGATCCAGCCGCGGACCTCGAGCCGATTGCAGTTGGCGAGGAGCTGCTGAATTCGCTTTTCGAGTAGGCCATCAAGCAGGGCAAGAAGAGAAACTTCATCACGCACGTTGGCCCTCGATCGTTCCCATCAGAAGGATCGACTGGCCGCGCAGACGAGCGGGCCACTGAGAAGTTAGTGCGTGCGAACTGCAAAACTGATCCGTTCAACTCCCAGATCAAGTTCCCGCCAGCATGGCCCTCTTGGAAGAAGAGTTCCATGGGCCGCGCCAAGGGCGCCCAGTCCTGGAGCCGTATAGAAGATCGTGTTGCCATGAATTATTCTGTTGATGCTGGAGAGTACGATCGAGTAGCAATATTTGCGCAGCCTCCGAGAACCCGCGTCGACGGAACATCGTACTTGTGCACGTCCCTGCAGTTTGATCAGCATGATATGATTATTATGAATGCTAAGAGTCGTACCAAATATTGCTCTGGATTGCGTCGCGTCCGCGCCGGGCACGACTGCTACCGAGAAGGAGATCGTCGAGAAGGTGATCAGGGACTCCGATCCGCTTCGCGGACGAGTGGGGACCAACCTGGCCGGGGCGCGGCTCTACGTCATCGGCATCGCATTTGCCTGCCCAGTCTTGAGCGACACGGAGGTGCGCCCAGACTGGGAGCCATCGAGACATCGTCGAGCGCAGTCCTGATCTTGTTGTAGCCTACGCATCATCAAACCATCATGTTATCACTGATTGTCTCTCTGATTTGGCTCAAAACCATGGCCATGTAACTGGTGCGCTAGGTTACGAGCCCGTTTGCTCGAGCCTTGAGGTTGCCGTCGCGCTGAACTCTTTCCCCGCTGAAGCCGCAGAGGAGAGGGCTAGAGACGATATGGGCGCGATCATCGGCGACGACGACGTCGTTGCTGTCTCTAAGGAGCGCTTGCGCGATGATGGACAATATATCCTAGAACAAATCAACTTACCTGCCGAGCCAGAACACGAAGGAAAGAGACGGAAAGCGCGGTTGCAAATCTCGCTCCGCACAGGGGTCGCTAGTAGACGACTGCAGAGACAGTTTGGTCACGTACCTAATCGTGTTCAAGTGCAATGTTTGAGAATATCGGGGATGTCGTCGGACTACATTGGAGCTGCCAAGAAGTATCGATGTGAATGTTGCGAATATTATAGGCCGTTAGCTCAGACTCATGAGGGTGCCTGCCCAATAAATTCTGCTTCAATCGTGAAATCGGCATCGGCTGTCTGGAGGTAGAGGACAACAGTGGATAACGCTAACCTTCTTGAACATAGTGTGCCAGGGTGCGACATTTCAACGTGTAATCTTTGTAAAACAGGGAAGTGGTACGCCGTCTTCGAGAGCGTGCCTCACTGCACTCCAACAGCGCTGGTGCGCATGGGCAGGTAGACCCAAACGGATGGTGTGAGACCGTGGACTGCCCAACGGAGGAGTGTTTCTGCAATGGGTTGAGTCAAGGGATCGACCTCCGCGACGGCGGAGTCGAGTCTCCCGAGCAGATAGGCCGCGCCGAGAGACATGGTGGACTTTGGGAGACCATCTTCAAGAGGGTGGTATACGACAAAAATGTTACCGGACTCGATGAAGTCATCTCTACTGCATCAGAAGTTGACAGCGCGAAGAATGAGATGTCACGAGTCGGCGGATTCGCGCCTGCTCAATGGGCACTCGGAAAGATTCCCCGTGTCCCAGGGGGCCAATTCGACGACGAGGAAGCTTTCGACTTAGGACTGCTTGCGAATGTTGCAGAGGACGGAGCCGACGAGTTTTCTCGCCAGGCTGCGATCCGTGAGTTTGCCAGGAATGCATTCGCGGGACACGACGTCGGGAGTGGAACGGCGAGGGCCGCTCTCCGGATAGCAACGCCACTAGCCGGGGAATATCGAGTAGGTGATGTATTGTGCTTCCGTAAAAGGCCGACCGACGGCGAAGTCTCTGCTAAGTTGGGCACTGGTTCTCGTGCCGTTGGATTCGGTGGCAAAAACGCATGGGTTATTGCACAGGGTGTACCTGTCTGCGTGGCTGTCGACAGGCTTCGATCGTGTACTGCGGCGGATGCGTTGGCATGCCAGTATCTCCCCAAGCATCGCGACGGTGGGGTCGAAAGATATGCACCTCCAGACGGACAGCAACAGTCATTTGTGGACGAAAGACGCGAGCTGCCAGAACCACAGGTACAAGAGCATTCTGTACAATAACATCCTATAGTGACGAGCTGCCGGGGATCCCAGAGACCCCGAGTTCATAGAAGAAGCATGTCGCCAAATGGAGGAAGATGAACTGTCTGATGGAATGGTCGTTCGACGCCCGCGTCAAGGTCATCGCTGGTGACTCGAACGCCACTACAGAGGTCCTTGCTAGACGACGCGCCACACGGCATACAGAGTCGTAGCGAAGTGATGCGCACAAGAGTCGAGAATGTTGATGGTAGCACGGGAAGGGTTTCCGATTCTGCCTCGGAGCCAGCTCCCGAGCCGGCGAGCCCGCTTCTTGATGCCATGCGCAGGGCCGGAACGTCAGGGCCGGGCGTGGATTTGCTAGCCCGCGTGGAAGCATCATTCGCTGTTGCGCCACATAAATCGCTTGTCGGATGCTTGACCGAGCGCGCCGCTCATGGGCCGCAATCCAAGAATAATGTAAATAGTGCAAAGAATCTGGTATATCATCGAAAACCTCTGGACGTTAAAAGCGGTTCACCACTGGCAAGGCAAGACGAATGGGGAAAATGGCGGAAGTTCACCGCTGGTGTACCGATAGATTCCGTGGAAATGCGACACATCCTCGACGGATGATATCGCATGGCACCTACACAGTGGATTGAGATTGACAAGGATGAACATCTCCGCAGACCGGGAGGACCTCCGGTTGCATCGCAATACAAGAGTAGACTTGTTGCACGCGGAGATTTGGAAGAGTCATTGTGTATCCGCGCGGATTCGCCAACGTGCGAGTTAGAAGGGCTAAGGTTGATAGTATAATGGGCGTCTGGCACAAAGAAGACTCTCAAGTGCGCCGACATCACATCTGTGTATTTCCATGATCAGGAATTCGACCGCCTCATGCTACTAAAGCCACCGCCCGACGGACTCGAAGGAGCTCCGGATGGTGGGGCGCTGATCGCGCGCGCGCCTGTCTATGGCACGCGTGGCGCAGGGCGAGGTCCATGGAAGAAAATTCGCAAAAGGTTTGAAACTCATGGTCTAAAGGGGAATTGTATCATGTCCGCTTTGTTCAGTCTTCACAATGACAAGATTGAGATCGCGTGTATGCTAGGCACACATGTAGATGACATACTATGGGCCGCAGATAAGGAAAGCCAGAGAATCGTCGATTCGGCATTAGCATTAGCAGAGTTTGATCTCCGCGAGATCAAGCCGGATAATTTCCGCCATTGCGGCTGAGAAGTTGCGCAAGATGAAGATTTCACGTTGAGTATTGCGGCCGGGGAAAATGTTGAGAAGATCGAAGTTGCATCCTATCCCAGGGACAGTCCCCCTCGCGAGAAAATGCAATGAGGGTGAGACAGCGCAGCTAAGATCGGTCGCATTTGTTGCGGCATGGTTTACACGTCAGTGCAAACCTGAGTTATTGTATCGCGCGAGCAGATTGCAGACAGCAGTGCGCCCACGCTAAGGTACTTCATCTCAAGGAAGCCAACCGTGCATTAGAAGAAGCAACTCAGTCCGCCGACTGCGGATTAGCAGTAACGGTGGAGCTGTTAAGTAGGATCAAGATCTTATAATTCTTATCGTTACTGACGCCAGCTGGGCAGGAGAAGAGGATATTGTCAAGGGTAGAAGCGAGCCTCGCAGATCACAGAGGGCTAGGTTCAATGGACTCGCAGGGCCTGGGTTCATCGAGGGGAACAGTGATCATGTTCACCCTATATGTATATCTAGAACAGTTATCAAACGAGTATGTAAATCTACACTACAAGCAGAGACTCTCGCTTGTTCATGGGGTGTAGAATCTGGTGTGCGCATCCGCGCCGCCATCGCAGACGCTCGTGGGATACTTGGCGCTGGGAGGAAGCTGCCAACCAATTGGGAAGACAACTCAGCCATGTCTATGAG